ACTGCAAAAGTAGAACTCTTAGACCTCATAAATGAACATTTTAATAATTTAATCAGCTTCTAATCATAAATGAAATATAAGAATTTAAGTGTGGGGGACCTGAGATTTGTTTTGAGTCCTCGGGATTTCTCTCACCCCATTAATCCTCTGCTCCTTCTTTGAAATTTCTGCACATTCATAGGAGATTGCAAGAGAAATCAGTGGAGACGAACCAAATATTCAAAGCCATGTTAAAAACCAGGCACTGCCAGCAAGAAGAATGAATGGAAAATTACAATCCGTCCATCCACCAACTAACCGATCAAAATATTTCACAAACTTAAGAGCCACATGAATTCATGTTAACAAATCCATCAATCGACAGCCTAAGTGGCCTTTTGCAATGGGAAAATTACTTGAAATAGGGTTACCGCAAACCTGTTATATCGAGTTCAAGGGTAACACACCACAACATTTTGGAGGACACACCCATATTTACCAAAACCCAGCAACAACCATTCTCCAAAACATGTCCTGTTCTCAGGGGTGGGCTTCAAGAATTTTAGCAAGGGGTTCTCTGCCTGGTTGCTGGATGGGTGTGGCCATGGTGGGCGTGGCCTAATCGGCTTCCCGCACCCCAGCAGGGGGAGGGGCATTTTTGTCCTCCCTGGGCTCCAGAGGCTCTCCTCGAGCCTCCGGGAGGGTGAAGATGGCCTCCCCAGGCTCCGGAGGCCCTTCCTGAACTTCTGGTAGGCCCAACGTACCTGCATCCAAAACGGGCCACATGGGGACTCCTGGGAGGGGTTGGGGGGCCCAGCCAGGAGTGGGATTTGGGGGTTCTCCAAACTGCACAGAATCTTAGCTAGAGGTTCTCGTTCTTAGGAAGAGCTTTGCCAACTCTTGCCTCAAGGGGGACCCCCAAACTGAAAGGTAGAGAGTTAGGGTTTCCCAAGCCACTCCTCACATCTGGTCCTAGAAACCATCGAAGTTCTACTTACTCCTTGGAGAGCATCTTTCAACCTTGGCGACTCCCAAACGGCTGGCTGGGAAATTCTGGGAGCTGGAGTCCACCCATTGGAGAGTTGCCAAGGTTGAAAAACCTGGTCCCCAAGAATGTCGTAGCGCCAGAAAGGAAGATTTGCTGCCCTTGGTACGAAAAGACGGGACCTCTGCCCTCCTGCCAGCTCCCAAGAAAATCCCATGGCCAAATGCTCCTAGGCAGGCATTCCCCCGGGGAAGCTCTTTGGTGGGGGCTCTGCACTGACACACACACACCCCGGGCCCCCGTTCCCCCTCTTCAGGCAACCGATGGGCAGAGAGACGTACAGGAACTGCAGGGACGGAAGATGTGCAAAGGCCGCTTCCTTCAACTCACTGAAGTCTGCGTTGATCAGGGTCCTGCAAAAGAGGAGGGGGACAGAAATCAGTGGGGAGTCGCTGCAGAGCCTGGCACCCCAGAGTAGTCCATCTGGTTGGGCTGCTTGCAGTCAGGGGGTCTGAAGCCCACTGTTGACCTGTCAGCCGCTGGCCCCTCCAGCAGCCAAATCAAAAGAGGAGGAGGAGGAGGCATGGGAGTCAGGACCAGCATCCAGGCAACCTGAGAGCTCCGAGGGGGAAGAAGGAATGGAGCCGGCAGAGAGAGAAAGACAGAGGCAGAGCCTTGGCCATCCGTCAGCCCTCAGATGCAGAATCAACAGTCCCCAGGTCTGGAGATGGCTGATGAGGAAGAGGAGGAAGAGCTGGGCCCAGTGCCTGACGCGCAGATGCTCAGAAGGCAGAGGAGAGGAGAGCAGTGGAAATATATGGGCTGATCCTTGGGAAGGAAGAGCCATGAGAGGGAAACTTTTCCCCGGGGCTGCTGGCGTTCCTAATAAAGGAATCATTGCTTCCACTACAGGAGGAGGTTTGTTGTGTTTGAGGAGCTGGGTCAGAACAGTGTCCCGTGTCCACAGCAAGCCTATATCAAGATATATCAATGTCTTGGTGTCAGCACCTCAGCACTGACATAGGAAGGGAGATAAGCCCTGAACTTTTGCCTGCTAAATCCCTTTGAAGCCCGGTCTCCGTGGAAATGAAGGTGTGGGGGGACATTCCTGTGAAATGACGAGACAAGAAGTCAGAAGAGTGACTTGGAAGATAGCCAATGAGAAGCAGATAATTGGAGATCGGAAAGGGAGGGATTGGGGGGGGCAAAAGGTCAGTCTTGTCCGCATCGAGTCATGATCCAGTTGCTGTGCTCAAATAAAGAGAAGATTTCCTTAAAGATTGGCAGTTTGGAAATTCATTTATTTTGAGATAGCATCGAAGTCTGACACTTGGTCAATCTTTTCCCAAAAAACTTGCAGCCATCAAACGTATAGAACATTAGCCAGCTAGATGGCAGCACTTCACTGAATTTGGCTGCTCTCGCGAGCTAACTTTTCAATTTAAAAGATGTAATGCTTAATAATCGTAAACCATTTATTAACCTTTCCGTGTATTTATGCTAAAAGAAATAATAAATAAAGAAGTTAGCTTAATAGCATTTCTTATTTTAAAGCGTTACTCGTTGGCATTAAAACAAATAACAGCAGTATTGACGTTTCGTATTTCATAACATTTAAATAATAAATAATGTTTAAATCCATAGCGAGCACTCCACAATAGCAATATTTCAAAATATGTACATAAATCATGTTTCTAAATATTTTCAAAAATCATATTTAAAAATGTTTAAATCAATAATAATGCATATCAATATAGCCCTAGGAAATACCAGTCTATGATAAGACTGTGAATAGGGGAAAATCCAAGAATCAACTCTTGAATTGTTCCCAGAAAATTCCATGAAATTCACAAGAGGAAAAAGGGGAAATTGCACTGGCGTCATTTGTGTGATGTCACAACACAGGTGCCTGTCAAAACACCTGCATAGGGACGCCTTGAAGGAACCTCCGGGGGCAAAGCTCCCCCCACCCCAGAGTCTTCGGGAACGCAGAAGTGCCCCCTCCAGTGGTGAGTTGTCCCCGGTTCAGACCGGTTCTATAGAACCGGTAGTAAAACTGGCGGGAGGCTCCGCCCACCAACCCTGACGTCATCAGGAAGCTTCTGCCATTGCGCGTGTGCGGCCCCGTTGCAAACCGGTAGTAAAGATAAGTAGAACCCACCCCTGCCCCCCTCCCCATTTTCCCAACTGTATATAGGAAGCTTCTGGGACTACCTTCAGGGTAGGGTCAAATAAGTCAAAATGGCAGCCCAACATCAATCACACTGTCCCAGCCATTTTGTCTGAAATGGTACAGGGTCTCCCAATTGAGCAGGAGACCTCTAAGCTCCCTTCCAACTCTGTTGTTCTAACTAAAGCCATCTCCTTGATTCTTTTTTTAAAAATAATTTTATTTATGATTTTTTTTTTTCTTCTACATCCAAAAGTGCTTGGTGGACAGTGTATTGTCTGGGTCAATATACTTTACACCCAATTCTGATAATGATAGTACCATTTAAATAAACATTATCATCATCTTTCAACTTCTAACATTTGTGCCTACGTAGTAGTTATAATATGTTCTACTATATTGCAATATACATAATACTATTTTCCCAATTTCTGCTTTCTACTTCTTTTTTCTAACACTTCAGAAAATAACCACCATGTTAGAAAAAATATTCAGTATCTATCCGTCATCTCTTGCCCATTTTAGAATTTCAACTCTTATTAACTTTTTGGCGAATCTTTCATGCTTCTCCTCTGGTATCTTGTAACTCCTTTTACCCCTTGATTCTTTTCAGCACCCCCTGTGGACCCCCCACCCCACCCCAAGCCTTCCGGGGTTCCTCCTCCCCCACCCCCACTCCCACCCCCACACCAAGCTGGCTCTCCTCTCTGTCCTGCGGCTGTCAAACTGCGACACTCGGACACCCCCGAGGTGGAGAGGGAGGGGGCCTTGAATGCCGTTTGTCCTGCTGTGATTCATGAACGCTGCTTGGCAAGGAGCCCCCAGTGCACTTCAGCAAATTAATGCTGGTCCACAGGTGGGGCCTGTCACCTCGCATCCCAACAATTTCCGGTGGGTAGTGGGGTTACCTTTGGCTGGAGAGGCTGCTGCAATTTTGGCCTGAAGGCATTTAATATTCCTAAAACTCCTTTGCATCAGGGTCCAAACTGAAGAAAAACAGGATATATTGAATTTTATTTATTTATTTATTGGTTCGATTTATATGCCACCCTTCTCCGGAGACTCAGGGCGGTTTACAATGCGTTGAGCAATAGCCTTCATACTTTTGTATATACCTGCTTAGTAGGGCTTTTGCCCCCCCCCAAGCGGTGTTCTTTTTTTATACAAAACACCGCATCCTTAGCATTTTTGAAAAATAGTTCCTACTCACCCTTGAAAAGTTGAGGATCAGTCATCTTAGAATATAGACTAGAATAGAATAACAGAGTTGGAAGGGACCTTGGAGGTCTTCTAGTCCAGCCCCCAGCTTAGACAAATAGCAAGTAGCAATAATCTAAGCTACCCAGAAAACACCATCTTGCATCTTGCATAGGTAAAATGAGGACCCGGATTGTGGGGGCAATAAGCTGACTTTGTATAAAAAAGAACACCGCTTAGGAAGGGGGGGCCGAAAGCCCTACTAAGCAGGTATATACAAAAGTATGAAGGCTATTGCTTAACGCATTGTAAGCCGCCCTGAGTCTCCGGAGAAGGGCGGCATATAAATTGAACCAATAAATAAATAAATAAATAAATAAATAAATAAATAAATAAATAAATAAATAAATAAATAAATAAATAAATAAATAAATAAATTAAATAAATAAATAAATAAATAAATATCCCCATTCCCTCCCCAGTCTGGGGCCAGCCAGAGGTGGTATTTGCCGGTTCTCCGAACTACTCAAAATGTCCACTACCGGTTCTTCAGAACCTGTCAGAACCTGCTGGATTTCATCCCTGGTTCTAGAGCCCGGCAGTGCCCCTCTCTCTTTCAGACCGAAAGGCAGATCCACAAGAAGCACACGCACAAGCGAGGTGTCCAGAGGGAATGTTGGCTGTGACAAAAACACCAACAGACTGACCAAAAAAACAACAACAACAACACAAGTGACTCATGTCTTTCCACCACACCTTCTTCACAACAGCAACCAGTTCCATCTCTCCGAGAAGTGGGCAGGCATCCCTCCCTGGGGATCTCTTTCTCCCTCAGATAAAAAAAAGGGGGCTGGGAAGCCCTGGTCCCCCTCTGTTGCTGGGGGGGGGCTGCAGTATCCAGTAAAGGCTGGGACCCCCCCACCCACATTCTGCCCCCTCCCACCAGAGAGGAGAACTTGGGCATCACCTCCGGGCGGGGCAAAGACACTTTTCAGTGCCGCATCCGAGCAGGAGAGGACCCGCCTGGGGAAGAAGATGCTGTCCTGTGGGATGGGCCACCATCTCTGGTCCTACCCCCCCACACACCCCAAAGGATGGAGAGAAGGTCTCCCCCGCCGCCACTTCTCAAGATACATCCTCCCCACTTCCAGCCTTCTAGATTCGGAGCCCCACCCAATCCTCTCCCTTTCGCCTCCCTGAAATGTTTTTTTTTGGGGGGGGTCACCTCTTTTGTTCTGCCCCCCTCTCCTCCTCCTCCTCCTCTTCCTCGCTCTTTACACCCCGCAGCCGAGCCTTCCTTTCTGCCAAGTTTCTCTCCGCCCTCCCCAGTTCCCGAGGAGTTGTCCCGGTGCTGAAAATACACACCCGGGAGACGCAGAAGAATTCGAAGACAACAGAAGGAAGAGAAGACACAAGGGGAGAGAGTTGGAAGGCAACCTTGGGGGTCTCCTAAGTCCATAGAGACCCCCCACCCCCCGCTAAGCAGGAGCCCCCCATGCCATTTCAGACCCCCTCTCATCCCCCCCACCCCCACCCCCACCCCAACTCCTCTTGGCCACTTACAGGGAAATGACATCCCGGGCCAGGTTCTTGGGCACCGCCTTGGAGTCCACGCAGAAAGCCGTGTCGCGGGTGCAGGAGCAGCTGGCGGGGCAAGGGGGCGGCCGGGGGGTCGGCGGGAAGCGACCGGCCCCCAGCAGCAAAGCAGGCCCAGCAAGGAGAGGAGGAGGAGGAGGAAGCGCCCCGCGGCCAAGCCTTCGCCCCATCGCTGCAAACCAGCCATCGCTTCTCCTCCGCGCAGATGATGCCCAGATGATGCCCAGATGCCACCAGCTGCTCCGGCTGAGCTTTGGGTACCCTGGCTGGATGCTGCTGCGGCTGCTGGAGCCCAACTGGCCGAGCGGGATGCTGAAGCTCTGCAGAAGAGAGCAGCGCTCGGCTTCTCCGCCCGGCGCGGGGGTGGCAGCCAGAGAGGGAGGGAGGGAGGGAGCTGGCTGCAAATGCCAGCCCCGGGCTGGGGGGGGGGGCGGAGAGGAGGGGGGTCAAGGAAGCTCTGGGGACTCCCGAGGGCATCGGGATGGAGGTGGGAAAGGAAGCACGTGGCATCAGGGCTCCTGGGGGTGGTGTAAAAGGGGAGGGGGATATAAGAGATATAATCAAAATATATAGGTCTTTATAGGGGGAAAGACAAGGAGGGGGGAAAAAGAAGAGAAGAAAAGGAGGAGGGGGAAAAAAGAAGAGAAGAAAAGGAGGAGGGGAAAAAAGAAGAGAAGAAAAGGAGAAGTGGGGAAAAAAAAGAGTATTCGACTAAGAAAAAGGGGAGGAAATATAAAGTATCAGATGGGAAACCACTATGAAACAATGCTTAAAAAGGATACGCTATTTATTTATATGTCGTATGTTGTGCAAATGTCTAATTTGTGTTTTAATAAAATTTATAAATTTGTAATAAAAAAAGGGAGGGAGGGGAGCATCCCCCCCCCCAATTTTGGAGCAAAGACAAAATTTGAGGAATGCAAGGAGCCACCTAGGGCTGCCAAAGATGCTAAGAGGCGCCATGGGGTGCAGGGAGAGGGGGCAACCCACACAAGCGGGATACTGACTTTTGAGGGGGGGCAGAGAAGTCCCATTTTGGGTGCAGGATGGTGGGCTGCGTCTCTGCCGTTGCTGGGACCACTGTTAATCCTGGGGCCATGCACAGGTCATTGGCCTGGGCTTAACACGGATTTGCACAATGCGTCTTCTGGGCTCCTGAGCCGTTTTGCCAAATCTGGAGTCTCTGTGGGCATCTTGAGTACCTCAAATTTGACAGGTGTAGAACAAAAGGCCACTCGAGAAGCCATCGCTGGACACGGGGGACGCTGGGAAGGAGTCAAATCATATGGAAAGTTATAATTGTTCTAAACTAGGTTGAGGTAGATTTCCCTCTTTTTATTAAATTCAACCGTTTCATTTCTTTCTCTCGCGACGTCCGACTACATTTTTAGGTTTTGCATAATACCGCATGCCATGAAAGAGAATAACACAAATTGCACTTTTAACGTAGGTATGAGTGGTTCTCAGTTTGTGACCACGAACGAGCCCAAAATTTCTTGTTGGCATGTGAAATAGTTGTTGAATGGAGTTCGGGACCCATTTTACAGCCTTTTCTTGCCACCATTGTTAAGCGAATCACTGCCGTTGTTAAATGAGTCACACCATCGTTAAATGAATCTGGCTTCGCCCCTTGATTTTGCCGGTTGGGAGGTCACAAAAGCTGGTCGCATGAAGGTGCAGCCGTCATAAATACAAGTCAAAAAAAGGCGTCAGCTTTTGTGGGTCGCAAACCTTTTCATGACATGCATTCTACATATATGACCTGCATTTACCTCCCCCTTCTACCCACCTCACACACCCCCACCCTTAATTCTTAAATTAGCCTAGCCATTGTAGGCCTCGGAGGACAGGAAATATGGCTGATGCCTTTAATGCAGTGTTTCTCAACCTTGGTAGCTTGAAGATGGGTGGACTTCAACTCCCAGAAGAGGGGTGTCCTTTCTGAGGCATTTTCCACACCTCCGTTGATTTTGTGGGCTAAGCTGCCTTTTATCTCACTATTGCCTCATCTCCTCCTCCTCCTTTCCCTTAAATAACATTTTCACCAATCTTTACATACAGTCCCAAGCCTTTGCTGTGTCAGCACTTCAAGCTGCATTTACTCTAGTGCTGACATAAGAAGGAGAAGCGGAGGCGTCTGGAAAGGGACGTTTGACTTTTCACCTACTTATTTTCCCTGGAGATAATATCCCCCAGGAGATGGGATGGGAGGGGGGAAATTCCTTTGAGCTGGAGCAGTAGATTAGGGGTAGAGTGACTTGGAAGATGGCCAATGAGTACAGGGGAGTGGGGAACGGAAAGGGAGGGTTTTGGGCCTGGAAGTCAGTCTTGGCTGCGATGAAGTCGGAGTTAGAATATCGTGCTTAATAAATGGGAGTTTTTCTTCAAAGACTTTGTTTGAAATGCAATTTATTTGAGACGACCTCGAAACCTGACATGCTGATTTTGGCACGCCAATGTCTTCTGGAAAAGTTCTGATGCTGCTCGGAGAATGGGACAGACACGGATTACACCACTTGCAACATCCAGATGTTTCTTCGCTCCTTTCCCAACAAGCTCGTCCACAGCCTTTGTGGTCATTGTGAATTGGGCTTCTGGCTGCAATCATTGTTGTTGCTGCTCGTCTTCCCACTCTCCTCCATTGTGCTGGTGGCTGAATTGAGTCCACTGAGGCCCAGGAGCTGCTGGGAGGGCAGCGTGTGGCACGGGCACAAACACTTCTTGTTCCGGGCACAGCTGTGTCCCAGACAACAAAGGGCAAAGTGTGCCAGGGAGTGACTTGAGCTTTGCAATCCGTGTTTTGCAACCCAGGGCTGGGCTGAGATGGGCACAAAGGCTCCTGGGGCAAGGCCAAGCAGACGTTAAGTGCTTTGGGGGCAGGCTGCAAACCCCCCATTGCTGGGTGGGAGAGAAGAATGAGCGAACTCCTCAGGGAGGTCACGGTTCTACGCTCGTTGCTAGGAGATCACGGGTCATCTTTGCCAGATCAAGATGTAAAGGTGGGAGAACAATAAATTTCACTCCGTTTTAATCCCAGGTTGGACCGAGACACCGTTCCGTCTGCACAAAGCTACACTCAAATAAATTAAGCGCCTTGTGCTGTAATATCAGAGTTCACAGAAGGACAGAGGTTCCCCCAGAGTGTGTTGAAAACCGACAAGCTGGCTGCCACCATCACACAATCAAAGCTTTGCCTTTTTTTCCCCTCTGTGTGTGTTTTTTCTTACTCTCAAAATTACAAGTTTCATTTAACTTCCTGCAGGAAAGTCTAAAACGTGCAGTCCTGAAGTTAGTAATAGCACATAAGCAAAATGTAATTCCCATGAGTTTCTTTCTGGTTAAATTTGCACTTGGGTGTCATAGAATCATAGGCAGAAATGAATAGATTAATGCAGTGTTTCCCAACCTTGGTAGCTTGAAGATGGGTGGACTTCAACTCCCAGAATCCCCCAGCCAGAAGCACTTGGTAGGCATGGTGTGGCTTGGTGGGCGTGGCAGGGGAAGGATACTGCAAAATCCCCATTCCCTCCCCACTCCAGGGGAAGGATACTGCAAAATCCCCATTCCCTCCCCATTCCAGGGGAAGGATACTGCAAGATCCCCATTCCCTCCCCACTCCAGGGGAAGGATACTGCAAAATCCCCATTCCCTCCCCATTCCTGAGGGAAGGATACTGCAAAATCTCTATTCCCTCCCCACTCTGGGGCCAGCCAGAGGTGGTATTTGCCAGTTCTCCAAACTGCTCAAAATTTCCACTACCAGTTCGCCAGGATTTCACCCCTGGGGCTGCCCGCTTCCCATCAATTGAATGACTGCTATTATAACACAAGGTGACAAATCTGTGTCTCTCCAGCACTGTTTAACTTCCATTCCCAGCATCCCACACTATGATAGTGGGGGCTCCTGGAGCAACAGCTCCTCACCCCTTTCTTTGGCTCCAAATTTCTTTCCAATAACGTGGCTCTTGTTCTCTCAATACTATTGATGTTCTCAGAAGCTCTTGCTTTTGTGTTTTTAGCAAACATCTTAAGAACTTCTCAAGGAGTGATTTCAAAGCAAACGAGGAGGACTTCGTACTTCCCAGATTGACTTTGGAACAAGTTGAGTTTAAAGTTTAGGAACAACAAGAGCCCACTTGTTCCTAGAAGGTTCTTCTGCTTTTGGACAAGGTTCTTCAGAAACTCTTGAAGGACCTATGTCCAAATAACTCTTTTTGAGTATCCTGGAGAAGACTTGGCAAGAAACACTCCCTAAAAGCAAGACTGGCTACCAGCCAGCAGGAGTTGCAATGGGGATGGAGAGCTAACCAATCCCCCACGGAGGAATTTAGCATCAGGTGCAAAGTATAAGTAGAGGTTTTCCTACCTTCAGTGGTCCAGAAGGATAAGGAACATTGTCCAGCTAGAGAGCTAAGGATCAGAATGGAAGGGGATTACAAGATGGACGATAGCAACAAGTTGGCCCTCATGTCCGAACCACCTCCGGTGAGTTTCACTCTTCCTGGGAAGAATTTTTGTTCTTTCAACTTTAACTTGGAAGAATGCATGGGACGTGAGCTAGAGAAACAGCCAGCTAGATTTAGCCCATAATCTACGATAAATGAGTTGGAGAATTCTTTTTTTTTTTTTTTTTTATATATATTTTTAAGTATACATCCATATTATGTGTGAACAGTGTTAGAACTGAGCATCATTCATATTGATCCAATTTACCACAATATTACTGTTCTTTTTCACATGCATCGAATTTAAATAATTCTCTTTATATTATGTAAACATACATTTTAAAACAGCCTAACTTCTATAAGCCTTTAATCTTTCTATCTGTTATGCTTTTATTCTTTAGAAAAACAGACTTCCCCTAACTAATTTATTTCTGCTTCTCCAACTTACAATCAAGCTACCTTAACATTTAGAAAGCAATTGTTTCTAACCATCATCTCTTGCCCTCATTAGTGCTTCGATTCTTATCCGGGTTTTTTTTACTCGTTTCCCACACTCCTTCTCTTTATCTCTGACTTCGTCTCTGTCTTTCTTATCTAATCCAAACATTTCTAGAGGTGGAGAATTCTAGTTATCCAACTCTTCAACCAATTATTATGGGGGCACAGCCTATGAAAACTTTTCTTCCCTGCTTTCAGCCCTTTCATTTTTCATCCCTCGGAAAAATTTGATTTCTCTCCTGCCACCCCTAGAGTTGCCCCAAGTCTATGGCCGGAATGCAGGTAGTCCTCGACTGAACCACCGCAACGGAGCCCAAAATTTATGGCGCTAGATGAGAAATTTGTGAAGCGAGATCTGCCCCATGTTACGATTTTTCTGGCTGCTTTTGCGAAATAAATCACTGTTAAATTAGTCAATTAGTGATTGTGAAGTCCATCTGGCTTCCCCAGTGACTTTGCTTGTCAGAAGGTCAAAAACTGGGATCACATGATCCCTGGACACTGCAACCGTCATAAATGTGAGACAGTTGTCAACCCTCCGGATTTTGCTCCTGTGACTGTCGGGATTGTGTGAAAAAACAATCATAAGTCACTTTTTTCAGTGCCGTTGTAACTTAGAACGGTCACTAAGCAAGCTGTTATAAATCAAGGACGACCTGTACCATCTGGCAGCCTTGAGATCAATGATGAAGTAGGTTGATGTGCAATTAATTTACTCGGAGGAAATAGAGTCCTAGCTGTCGATCATTACCCCTCTGGGGGAAGGGAAGAAGGGATTAACAGAGTAACAAAGTCGGAAGGGACCTTGAAGGTCATCTAGTCCAACCCCCCCCAGAATATCTTCTGTCTCAAGGTGACTTCTGGAGAGGACACAAAGCAGAGGTTCTATCTCATTACGTCATTTGAGACATAACAGCTAGTTTAGAGAAAAGAAGGACCAAGGGGGATATGATAGCAGTCTTCCGGTATTTGAGGGGCTCCTACAAAGAGGGGGAAGTTAATTTATTTTCCAAAGCACCAAAGAAGGCAGGACAAGAAACGATGGATGGAAACTAATCAAGGAGAGAAGCAACCTGGAATTGAGGAGAAACTTTCCAACAGCGAGGACAATTAACCAGCTTGCCTCCAGAATCTGTGGCTCCTCCATCACTGGAAGTTTTTAAAGAAGAGATGGGACGACCATTTGTCTGAAATGGGATAGGGGCTGGACTAGAAGACCTCCGAGGTCCCTTCCAGCTCTATTCTGATTCCGAGATGAAATCCAGCACCGTTGGCTGAGGAACTCTCACATCTGTTTTTTGGTCCTGCAGGATTACACAGAATCTCCCAAGCCTCCTGACCTTCCTTGGGGAAAACTCTTCATCATGGCGACGGCAGTGGTGGGGATTGCTCTGGTGGTCCTGATTTTCCTCCTGGTGGGGCTGCACCTTACCGAGAAACATACAGAGGCGGTAAGACGGGGTGGGTGGGTTCTACTTACCTTTACTACCTGTCCGCAATGGGATCGCGAACGAGTGATGAAACTATGGAAGGGATTTCCAGAGAGGTTCATAATCATTCATCCCCACTCGAGCCATCTCTACACACACACACCCAAAAAATCAGGACGATGGCCCTGATTGTAGATTGACATTCTACCCCTTGTCACCTGAAGATGTCCTTGGCCCCCACTTGCAAGGGAAGGTCTTCACGTTCCCATTTTCCACCTGGAGAAAGGTATTGACTGAGTACCAGCCCTGATCTGAGTAGGTAACCCAAGCCAGGCTGTAGCTAATGTATGAATCCATCCTGTGGGTCAGCGATGGCTAACCTTTTTGCCGTTGTGTGCCAAAAGAGGGGAGAGCGCAGGGGGGGGTCACGCACACAGATGTCCATACCCATAATTCAATGCACCCCCCCCTGTGCCCCCCCCCCCCCCCCCTCCCGGGACCCCCCCGGCTCCCCCCCTCTTTTGGCACATGATGGAACAGTGGGCCCGGTAGGCCTGTTTTTCGCCCTCCCCAAGCTCCAGGAGCTTTCTTGGAGCCTGGGGAGGGTGAACACAACTTCCCCGCCCTCCGCCAGGGCCCTCCGGAGGCCAGAAACAGCCCATTTCCTGACTTCCGGTGGGTCCAGAAGGCCCGAAAATTAGCTGGCTGGCACGCACATGCGCTCTGGAGCTGAGCTAGGGCAACGCTCGTGTGCCCACAGATATGGCGTTGCGTGCCACCTGTGGCATGCGTGCCATAGGTTCGCCATGACGGCTGTGGGTCATTTGTCTGGACAGCACAGGCATTGTTGGCTCAACAGGTGGTTTTCTTAAACCAGGATTAAGGTTCAGGGAGATGCACGACACCCAGCCAATTCCATCCTTTCTGGAAGACCTGATTCCCATTTTTCTTCCCTTTTGCTTTGGCTCCTTGGCGATTCCTAGGTCCTGCAAATGACCATTCAAAGCCTGGACGGGAAAGGGTCCTCCCAGCACCTGGCCATGAGCCAGAAGGAGAAACTGGCCATATTTCCCATCCACATGAACCTCAGCTCTTCAGCCACGGTGGTCTATGATTACAGCAATGTAAGCTTTGCGCCTTTATCTGGCTTCACTCCTCTTGGCCAAAAGGTTTGCTCGTGCAGCTGGCTGACACCTATTCGGAATTGAAATGTTTCTTGTTGTGACACAATGGAATCTTCTTCTGAGTCTACTTGAAAAGCTCCAATGCAAAGATATGTCCCAGTTTGGGGGGAGGGTCTTCCTTTTTTTTTTTTTTTTAATTTGATTTATATGCCGCCCTTCTCCGGAGACTCAGGGCGGCTTACAATGCGCTAAGCAATAGCCTTCATCCTTTTGTATTCAGCTTATTGCCCCCACAAACTGGGTCCTCAATTTACCTACCTTAGAAAGGATGGAAGGCTGAGTCAACCTTGAGCCTTGGCGAGATTCGAACCTGCAGTAATTGCAGGCACCTGGTCTTAATAACAGGGTGCTTTAAACCACTGTACTACCAAGGCTCCTATTGCAATTCAGTTAAAGAGAGGAGAATGAATGAATAATCTTCTTCTTTTAATGATGCCATAATCCCTTGCCGGGTGGAGTCTTGTGCAACTGAATGGAGCTGAGTGTTTACTGGCCGGATGCCCTTCCTGTTGCCAATGCGGAGTTATATTATTCAGTAGATATCTTCTCAGTGTGCCCAGAGAGAGAAATATCTGCCTCCACCTAGGATCGAACTCACAGCCTCCTGATTGTGAGGCGAGAGCTCCACCTCTGGGCCACTGCACCACTCAGGAGAATGAATAATGACAGTGATAAATAATTCTCATTGTACAGAGGAGAGACTGGCCTACAGTGGTTGCTGCTTTGCATAAAGTGAAGAGAAAATTCCATTCCATTCCATTCTATTCTATTCTATTCTATTCTATTCTATTCTATTATTCTATTCTATTCTAATTATTCTATTCCATTCCATTCCATAATTCCATTCCATAATTCCATTCCATTCCATTCCATTCCATTCCATTCCATTCCATTCCATTCCATTCTATTCTATTCTATTCTATTCTATTCTATTCTATTCTATTCTATTCTATTCTATTCTATTCTATTCTTCTAGTCCAGTCTAGCCTAGTTTAGTCTATTGCCTAGAGCAGTGGTGAAATTCTGCCAGGCTCGCACGAACCTGTAGCGCCGGCGGCACATGTTTTGGTGAACTGGTAGCGGCGGCAGCAAGAGACTCCGCCCACCTGCCTGGATGTCATTACTTCCTGGTTTTTAACCCTCTGCGCATGCACAAAGCCTTCTGTGCATGCTCAGAGGGTAAAATATCAGATGGCGCACGCACTTCCGAACCGGTAGGGAACGTAAATCGATTTCACCCCTGGCTTAGAGGGATAATAAGGGATTTTAATCAACTATGGCAAAAGATGCCTCAGGCAGGGATGTTCTGAGGAGGCTTTGTGGTCAGATACCCGAATACCTGATTCTTGCCATCGCAAGCTCATCTCCACCCTCTGCCTTTCGACAGCTGGTGATCGGCTACCGATCCTGGCCAGGGAAGTCCTGCTACGTCATCAGAATGAACCAGAAGGAGATCCAAAGCCTGGATGACGTCATCGGGATCTTCCAGCATGTCCAGGTGAGTAAAAAAAAAAGGGGGGGAGGGAGTGAGGGCATCTATGGTGGGACGGTGGGAGAGCCATTCAGCCCAAAGTGCCCACTGTCTGCTTGGGGCAGGATGGAAGCCAAACTAAAATAGCATTCAAATTTTGATCACCGGGATACGGCAACCATCATGTGAAAAATAGTCAGTTGCCATTGTAACTTTGGTCACTAAACGAATGGTCGTAACCAGCGGTGAAATGTAAAATTTGTTACTACCAGTTCTGTGGGTGTGGCTCGTGGGAGGGGTTAATGTGACTGGATGGGCGTGGCCAATTTTATTTATTTTTTTTACTTTTAAAAGCATTTTTTCGGGCAAAGAGGTTGTAGAAAAAAATGCTTTTAAAAGCCTCTGGCAATCCCAGCTGAGTTGTGTGATCTTCAGAGGCTTTTTTTTTTTACTTTTAAAAGCATTTTTTCGGCCGAAGAGGTTGTAGAAAAAATGCTTTTAAAAATAAAAGAAAAAGCCTCTGATGATTGCATGGCTCAGCTGGGCATGGTGAGGGGGCGCAGAGATTTTTGCTACCGAACCACCCGCCACCATCGCTACTGGATTGGGTGATCCGGTCCGAACCGGGAGCATTTCACCCCTGGTTGTTACTCAAGGACTATCTGAACAACGGTGGTAAGCACATGCTTGTTGCCAAGCCACTGGATTTTGATCGCGTGACTTTGGGGATGCTGCGGCAGTCATAAGTGCGAGGACCAATGTCGTCGTAACTTTGAACAATCACCAAGTGAATGGTTATAACTTGAGTCGCAGTTCCCAGAATAAGGCCCTAGAGACCCATCTCTGCCCACCAAAGGAAAGAGCTGCTTGCTGTTGAGTTTCTTTCCTGGTGGAGCAAATCTTTTTTTCCCCCCTTCCTCTTGCAGAAGCCCCCTCCCTTGCTGCCCCTTGGACAGAGAGAGAAGCCAATGGAAAACCTCTCGGCGCTGCCGGCTGAGCGTTCAACACTGGGAGCTGCCATCAACCTTCTCTGCAGCAGCCTCCCCGTCTACTGGGTTTAACGGAGTCAGGAGGAAAGAGGCAGAGCGGCGGACGGAGAAGTGAGGAACCAACAAATATCTAAGGAGCTTCTCAGTCATCCAGGTCCTGGTTGTCCCAAAGGTGCTTTTTCAAGAGGCAACTGGACTTCTTCGTTTTTCCTTGAAGACGTTTCACTTCTCATCCAAGAAGCTTCTTCAGCTCTGACAGTGGGGAATGGAAGGATTTATATTCTGGTCATTTGCCTCCTTTTAGAGGGTCGTTGAGGCAACTTGGAGCTTTGTCTTCGTCCTCAGGGTCACCTGAGTGGTGCAAATAGTTCCTGCACTCTGCAATTTTCCCTCTGGAAATCCATTCCTACTCCCACACCATTCCAAGGATGTCCATCCCAAATTTTATAGCTAAAAGTCTGTAGAGATTCTCCATCATCCAAGTCATGGTGGAACCAAAGATGTATTTTCAAGAGGCAACTGAGCTTTCTTTGTTTTTCCTTGAAGTCGTTTCGCTTCTCATCCAAGAAGCTTCTTCAGCTCTGACTAGAGGGTGGGGAATGGAAAAGGGAAGAGGGGGGGAAGGGATACGACATAATCAACAGAGGAGAAGGATACGACATCATCTATCTCCAGTCTACAAGACAGTCCTTTCAGCAGTTCCAAGAAGGCTCCAAACCCATTTGCATCACTCAGGTGACCCTGAGGACACAGATAAACCTCCCAAGTGTCTCAACGACCCTCTAAAAGGATGCAAAGGACCAGCTGTCTGCAAGGAGCATAAATCCTTCCATTCCCCACCATCCAGTCAGAACTGAAGAAGCTTCTGGGAGGAGAAGCGAAACGTCTTCAAAAGAAAAACACAAGAAAGTCCAATTGCGTCTTGAAAAAAGCACCATCGCAAGCAACACAGCTACCTGTCAGCTCTCGATCATCCAGCTTGTGGTTGTCCCAAAGATGCATTTTCAACAGGCAACTGGACCTTCTCGGTTTTTGGGAAGCATTTCACTTCTCATCCAAGGAGCTTCTTCAGTTCCTCAGGACAAAGGACCCATCCTGTAAATTCATCCCTTCTTGGCCTTAATTGCCAGAAGCAACGGAAGGAAAAGGCAGCCTGACCTTATTCCTCATCCTAACAAACAATTGTATATTTGTATATCAAGGCTTGTTCTGAGAATATAATTCCCTCTGTGGTTTGCAATTTAGATTCCTGACCATTCGGGGTTAAAAAGAGTTAAAGTGGGAAAATCAAAATGGCAATTTGGAAATCATAATCCTATGTTTAGAATTATCCTCAGCTGCCCTGAGTCTTCGGAGAGGGGGGGCATACAAATTGAATTAATAAATAATAATAAATGTTTTCTTACTTTTTTCCTTTTTTTTTCTTATTTGCTATTCTCTTCTTTTATATTCCTTTGATTTTTCTGTACTTTTATTGCATCAAAAAAATAATAAATTTTTTTTTTAAAAAAGGTAATAAGTCTGGGACCATTTTTGTTGTCAGATTATAAACCAGGGAGTTGAATGGTTGGAATATATTAGGCAGCATTTGGCTCAAATCTCTGCACACGTTTTGTGCAACATATTAAGTACATATAGTACAGTGGTCTACGCACCCTGTTATTAACACAGCTGCCTGCAATTTACTGCTGGTTCGAATCTCTCCAAGGCTTAAGGTCGACTCAGCCTTCCATCCTTTCTAAGGTAGGTGAAATGAGGACCCAGTTTGTGGGGGCAATAAGCTGACTTTGTATAAATATACAAAAGTATGAAGGCGATTGCTTAGCACATTGTAAGCCGCCCTGAGTCTCCGGAGAAGGGCGGCATATAAATCAAATTAAAAAACAAACAAACAAAAAAAATTAAGTCCTGGGTGTTGTGTTTTGTTTCGGTGGTTACGCCTCCCAGAGTCACTGTTCTGGGATGCATATCTCGATAAATCAAGCTGCTGAAAGCAAATCGGGGGTGCCAGCTTATCAAAAAGATGCAGAGGAGCTGGAAAATTATTTCACTACATCAGTGGTGGGTTGCTCCCGGTTCGCACCGGTTCACAAGAACCGGTAGTAAAAAATTTGTAGTAGTTCGGAGAACCGGTAATAACATTGGCTGGTCACACCCCCGAACCGGTCCCCGTTCGCTTACCCCACCCTTTTTTAAAAAAAAAACTTTTTAAAGCATTTTTTCTACAATCTCTTCGGCCGAAAAAATGCTTTTACCATCCTCTGAAGTCCATTGAAGCTCAGGCCGACTGCTTCAGTGACTCCATCCAGCCACCTCGTTCTCTGTCTTCTTTTGCCCTCCATCGTTCCCAGCATTGGGCTCTTCTCCAGGGAGTCCTTCCTTCTCCTTAGGTGGCCAAAGTATTTTGAGTTTCCTCTTCAGGATCTGGCCTTCTAAAGAGCAGTCAGGGTTGATCTCCTCTAGGACTGACCGGTTGGATTGCCTTGCAGTCCAAGGGACTCGCAGGAGCCTTCTCCAGCACCAGAGTTCAAAGGCCTCCATTCTTTGGCCTTCTCAGCCTTCCTTATAGTCCAACTTTCACAGCCATCCATTGCAACTGGGAACACCATCGCCTTGACTAGACCCACTTTTGTTAGTAGAATTAGGAGTTCTTAGTTCTCCTTTGGGTCCGTCCTGGGGCTAACGTTGAGGAATGTTAATGTTCCTGCCCTTCGTTTTTGTCTCTCTTCCTTTCGGGAACATGGCCACTGTTGCCGCAGCCTCCGAGGCATCTGAAGGGCAATTGCTGTTCCCAAGAGGAACAAAAGCCATCCGGAGACACAACGATGAAGCTTTCTGTCCTTGAATCTCACGGATGATTGCACCCAGTTCATTTGGCGCCTAGGAACATCCATCCTGCCTTGCTGACAGTGGGAAAACCTATCCCCCCCCCCTCGTTGCATCATTTATGACTCTGAAGGCTGACCTCTTCCTGAACCCACTGGCAGTGAACCTGCTGAATGATGAAGATCCAGAGCTGGAGACGGCATTGATCCAGGCGGGAGCTGCCACGTCTAACAACTATTCGCCTCTCTCTACAACGTCCGGTGTTGGCCAAAGAATTTGGGGCGGAATTTACTGCGGATGCTTTATTCTCCCAAACGGGGGAGGGGGGGAGGACCTAAAACATGGAGAGCCAAAGCAGTCAAGATGATGGTCATAACCATAAACTTCTAGTCCTGCTTCTTGTTAGAGCATGCTACACTTTCACAACGGATGGGGTTTTGATTGCACAAGGATGGCCACTATCCTTACTCCAATTGTGAAATCTAGTTTTTTTTTTAACTACCGGTTCTGTGGGCGTGGCTTGGCAGGCATGACGTGGCTTGGTGGGTGTGGCTTGGTGGGCGTGGCTTGGTGGGCGTGGCAGGGGAAAGATACTGCAAAATCCCCATTCCCACCCCGCTCCTGGGGGAAGCATACTGCAAAATCCCCATTCCCACCCCACTCTGGGACCAGCCAGAGGTGGTATTTGCTGGTTTATTATTTATTTATTAGTTCAATTTATATGCCGCCCTCCTCCGATGATTCAGGGCAGCTTACAATGTACTTATAGCAATACCTTCATTCATTTGTATATACCTGCTTATTAGGACTTTGCCCCCCCCCCCCATAAGTGGTGTTTCTACAATGTCAGCTTATTGCCCCCACAATCCGGGTCCTCATTTTACCTACCTCGGAAGGATGGAAGGCTGAGTCAACCTTGAGCCTGGTGAGATTTGAACTCGCACTAATTGCAGGCAGCTGGCAGCTAAGTGCTACATAACAGCACTTAGTCTGCTGCACCACCAAGGCTCTTGGTGGTTCTCCGAACTACTCAAAATTTCCGCTGCCAGTTCTCCAGAACCTGTGTCAGAACCTGCTGGATTTAACCCCTGCCTTACTCCTTGCAGACTACCCTCCATCCCAGGCCCTGCCCCAGGGTTCATAAGCCCTCTGGGAGGAAACAGGAGGACTAGAGTCCAGTGACTGCATGGCCTGAATTGGGGTTTCAACCTGAGCTTCTTCAACTTTTTTTTTTTTTTAATTTGATTTATATGCCGCCCTTCTCCGGAGACTCAGGGCGGCTTACAATGCGTTAAGCAATAGCCTTCATTCTTTTGTATATTTTATACAAAGTCAGCTTATTGCCCCCACAAAGTGGGTCCTCATTTCACCTACCTTAGAAAGGATGGAAGGCTGAGTCAACCTTGAGCCTTGGAGAGATTCGAACCAGCAGAAATTGCAGGCAGCTGTGTTAATAACAGGGTGCACTAAACCACTGTACTTTCAAGGCTCTTGATAATCAACTTGAGATTCCACCTTGACATCTACTTTCGACTTGAGGAGCCTTGATCGAAGGTTGTGTGAAAGGGATGGAATTAATCACTAAAAACCACTTACCAAATGGTTTGTGGGGAACAGATGCTGGTTACCTACTAGAGACATTTGGCTACCTCTAAACCACGGGTCTCCAACCTTGGTCATTTTAAGCCTGGAGGACTTCAACTCCCAGAATTCCCCAGCCAGCAAAGCTTCTGGGAGTTGAATTCCCCAGCCAGCAAAGCTGGGAATTCTGGGAGTTGAAGTCCACCAGGCTTAAAATGACAAAGGTTGGAGACCCCTGCTCTACATTCCACCATTATTTACCACAGGAAATTGTACAACAATTTGCAAAACCCAGAGAGAATATTGGGGATGAAAGGGTTGAGTTAAGAGTGTTAAAAAGGACTTAATGGCCACTCAGTGCTCATAACGGGAAATGTAGATATTTATTTATTTAGCCACAGTATCTCTGGTGTACAGTTACTACGTAAGGGATATTTAATCCCAACAAACTAGCATTTCTTGGATGCTTGTTCAGGTGCCAACTAAAACCATAAGGTTCTGCTACGAATGGTATGTGGGAATGACCTTGGGAGGCAGAAGCAGTGGTGGGATTCAAATTTTTTTACTACCAGTTCTGTGGGCGTGGCTTGGTGGGCAGGGGAAGGATACTGTAAAATCTCCATTCCCTCCCCACTCCAGGGGAAGATTACTGCAAAATCCCCATTTCCTCCCAATCAGCTGGGACTTGGGAGGCAGAGAATAGATGGAGGCGGGGCCAGTCAGAGGTGGTATTTACCGGTTCTTCGAACTACTCAAAATTTCTGCTACCGGTTCTCCAGAACTGGTCAGAACCTGCTGAAACCCACCTCTGGGCAGGAGGAAAAACCACAGATTAGGAAGGGATTAGATAATTAGTCTAAGCCCACATGGGGAATGTGGCAAACATCTCAGAAGGGACCCTACCTAGTTTCTTGAACTGTAAAGATGGAGAAGGGGAGAGAGATGTACCGTATTTTTCAGAGTATAAGACGCACCTTTCCCCCGCCCGGCCAAAAAAAGTGGGTGAAAATTTAGGTGCGCCTTATAGACTGAATACGGGCATTTTTGGCGTCCCGAACCCTCCGCGTGTCGCATTTTCGCCCTCCCCGGTTCCCAGAAGCACTCTGCAGTGCTCCGCAAAAACGCACCCGTTTTTGGCCTGCAGAGTGCTTCTGGCGCCTGGGGAGGGCGAAAACAGAGGCCAAAAACTTTTTTTTTTCTTGTTTTCCTTCTGTAAATTTATTTGTGTCTTATAGTCCGAAAAAATATGGTACTTTCAGATTTGCAAGACTCAGTTACTGTAACCTTGCAATAAAGCTAGTATTTCCCAGTATGTTTCATGTCTGGACTACCTCGCAAGGTTGACATTCTGCCACTCAAGTCAAGGAGTGTAATCTGCTAGTTTCTACCCCTGCCGAGTCCAAACCATTCTGTCCTGGCACCAGACCAGGTCTCATCTCCCCAGAGCAAACAATAGTTTTGTTTGTTTTTTTAAAATTTGATTTATATGCCGCCCTTCTCCGGAGACTCAGGGCGGCTACAATGCGTTAAGCAATAACCTTCATACTTTTGTATATTTATACAAAGTCAGCTTATGGCTCCCACAAACTGGGTCCTCATTTTACCTACCTTAGAAAGGATGGAAGGCTGAGTCAACCTTGAGCCTGGTGAGATTTGAACTTGCAGTAATTGCAAGCAGCAGATGTTAATAACAGTGCTTTAGTCCACTGTGCTACCAAGGCTCTTTTAAGAGCCTTAAAAGAGCCTTTTAAGACGGTGGAGGACCTTTTAAGTCCTCCACCACCAACAACTCCTGAGATACCTGAGGAGGTTAAATAGGGGCCCCTCCCGAAAGTAACCTTCCTTGGCCGGAATGAAGACTAGTCATAGCACAGCTGGAGTTGGGGTATCTGCAGGATGAAGTCAAAAAATCAAGATGGCAGCTACTATTGTGTGATCAATATACTATATACACAAGAAGGGCAATGCTTCAATTGTACTGGTGTGAGTGTCACCATGACTGTTTTCCCTATATCCTCCTCTACTTGCTCCTTCAAGAAGTAGGAACATTCAACCTAAGGACATTCTGTGTTCTTTCTGCACATGTTCATGACTCCATCTCTTTTCTGGCACCCTTTTGGCACAATATGATTGTGATTGACCAATTCCCACTTATCTTCATTGCAGATCCAGCTCTTATTTCACAACACTCTTCTCTTGGAAAAGGGTCTCCTTGAAGACTAATTCAACTCAAGTTTTTACAAGTCATCCAAAGCAAAACAAAGATTTCTGGCCAGAAAATTATGAAGCGATACTCAACTCATCACAATGCGTTGAGTGTTCAGCTTTGGAGAAGGAAATATTGGGTGGGGGGGGGAAATGTTGAAGTACTTCAACTCAAACCCTTGTGATTGAAGTGTAAGGTGGAAATGACACTTTCAACTCCTGGGTCTCTGTGGAAAGACCAGCTCTCATCCTGGGCAACTTCAAGTGGAGTTTCAATGACACCGAGAGAAGGTTTGAAGGGTAAAAGAGTCCAAATAGTTGGGTTATCAAAAATATCTGGCAAGGCAGAAGATGGGGGGAAAAAAACAAGGTGGAACTTTGATGATAGCAAAAAGAACATTTGGGGTTTGGGGGGAAATACATCAACTGACACTGCTGAATTATTAAAGATGAATGTGAGAATTCAGTATCGGGGAGCACCAGGGCCATAGGGGGTAGATCAGTGGTGAAATCCAATTTTTTTTACTACCGGTTCTGTGGGCATGGCTTGGTGGGCGTGGTGTGGCTTGGTGGGCATGGCAGGGGAAGGATACTGCGAAATCCCCATTCCCACCCCACTCCAGAGAAAGGATACTGCAAAATCCCCATTCCCTCTCCACTCCAGGGGAAGGATATTGCAAAATCTCCATTCCCTCCCCACTCCAGGGCCAGCCAGAGGTGGTATTTGCCGGTTCGCCGAACTGCTCAAAATTTCCTCTACCAGTTCACCAGAACCTGTCAGAACCTGCTGGATTTCACCCCTGGGATAGGTGTTAATAAACCAAGATGGTAGCCTTGATGGCCCAACTGAAGCCAAGCCGATGTCTCATGGGGCTTTGATCATGCCGTTGAGGCCATTTTCTTTAATTCTTTGACATCCACAGGTGCCTCTGCAAATACATTACCCCAGATCACGTCAGGCAAATCTTATTGCCTTTTTTGATGAAGTAACTTAGTAAATTAGTGGATAGGCAAACTACTGTGGACATAATATACTTACACCTAATATACTAGTATACGGTAATAATATTGGCTCTAGAAAAAGTGCAGAGAAGAACAACAAAAGGGCCTTGATAGTACAGTGGTCTAAGCATCCTGTTATTAACACAGCTGTCTGCAATTAAAGTAAGATCGAATCTCCCCAGGCTCAAGGTTGACTCAGCCTTCCATCCTTTCTAAGGTAGGTGAAATGAGGACCCAGTTTGTGGGGGCAATAAGCTGACTTTGTATAAATATACAAAAGGATGAAGGCTATTGCTTAGCGCATTGTAAGCCGCCCTGAGTCTCCGGAGAAGGGCGGCATATAAATCAATTTAAAAAAAAAAAAAAAAAAAAACCAAAGATGATTAGGAGACTGGAGGCTGAAACGAGTATGAATAGACTTTTTTTTAAAAAAGAGAAGGGCTAGAGGTGACATGATAGCAGTCTTCCAATATTTAAAAAGGTGTCACAGAGAAGAGGGAGTCAACCTATTCTCCGAAGCACCTGAAGGCAGGGCAAAAAGTAACAGATGGAATCAACCTAGAACTAAGGAGGAACTTCCTAACAGTGAGGACAATTAACCAGTGGAACAGCTTGCCACCAGAAGTTGTGGTGCTCTATCACTGGAGGCTTTTAAGAAGGGACTGGACAGTCACTTGTCTGAAATGTATCAGCAGGGTCTCCAAGACCTCCAAGGTCCCTTCCAGTTCCAACTCTGTTATTCTGCTATCTGCTTGCTTAAAAACCTTCCCACTGTGCACTATGGACCTTCTCTTGGTTGGTGGACTTGAGATTAGATTATCCATCCCCCAAAATAATATTGTCTGCAGCAAAACGAAGGGAGCTGAGGAGATGGGCGAGAGAGGCCACTTCTTACCACAAGGGTGTATACTTACCGTAAGGATCGGAGAGCCCTTCACAAAGCTTTCATTTGGCTCACGGGGTCTGATGTTTGCCACTTTTTGGACTACAAGGACCATCCAGCTGGGGACAAGGGTCCACTTAACTCCACGAAGAGCCCTTTGAAGGAGAAGGCCTTTAGCCGTGCGTGTTTCACAATACGTTGGCCCCATCTCAGAAACTTGGCTGAGAAGGACGGAAGAGCGGAGAATCAAATTCTCAAGTCCACCAACCAAGAGAAGGTCCATCTCATAGCCAGAGAAATGGGGAGGGGGGGAACCACTCCCCTTTTCTTTACAGCAGTCTTCCTAGGTGTGTGTGTATATATATATAACTTTGACTCTTTCCACTTCAGTAACTGGTGAGGGGTAGACCTCACGCTGAGGCGAGAGCCCAGTGATGGAGATGGAGGAGAAGATAAAAATTGTCACCACGGAGGCTCTCCTCAAAGGACCATCTGCCGTGAGTCCCTTTGCTACATGACTATGCCTCTTTCCCTTTGTACTTTCTTTTTTTCCAAATTGCAGAGGCTCAGGTTTACATTTTTATTTTTTTTTATTTTTTTTTTATTTTTTTAATTTGATTTATATGCCGCCCTTCTCCGGAGACTCAGGGTGGCTTACAATGCATTAAGCAATAGCCTTCATCCTTTTTTTGTATATTTATACAAAGTCAGCTTATTGCCCCCACAATCTGGGTCCTCATTTCACCTACCTTAGAAAGGATGGAAGGCTGAGTCAACCTTGAGCCTGGTGAGATTCGAACCTGCAGAAATTGCAGGCAGCTGGTCTTAATAACAGGGTGCTTTAGACCACTGTACTACCAAGGCTCTATTTAATTTAAAGAAGTGCCTGAATTATCCCAGCACCTGGGACCTGCATCTGAGCAAGACCCAACTATCTACTTCTTAAAAACCCAATTAAAAACTTGTCTGTCTCTAGATGCTGGAATTATTATTCAGGATTTCTTGATGATGGCTCATCGTTACAGTAGTGGCCAAAATTGTGGAAACCTTTTGGGAAAAGTCTATTTTCTAAAACTAGCTAATAACATCACTTTTTTTTTTTTTGGAGTAGTACCATAAAATTATATATCAATGGAAAGATAAATTAATCAAGAATGTAATGCAATAACTTATAGGAAGGATTTATTAGAATAGCAGTTACGGTATAAGGAAGAAAAGAGAAACACGTAGAAAAAAACGAGATATACAAAAATGATCCCCATGTCAGTGAATACTTAGTTGGGTAACCTTCAGCATGAATGACGGCCTTACAACGTCTTCCCATGGAGGGAACCGAGTCTTTGAGTTCTGCAGCTGTTCTAATGTGAAACCAGGATTGAAGGATGGCTTCTATTAACTGGGTTTTATTGCTTCTGACTAACAAGTTTCTTTAGTCGGCTCCATAGATTTTCCATTGGGTGAAGGTCTGGACTATTCCCAGGCCATTCCAGCAATGGAGTAGGATTATCTTGAAACTCCCCAAAAAAGTGGTGTTATTAGTTATCAAACCTCAAAAATACACTTTCCGTAAAAGGTTTCCACAATTTTGGTCACTACTGTAGAATTCCTATCTCAGAGGTTAGAATGAACCCCGAATTCCTTGAGTTACACCTTGGAAATAGATATTAGAGCTTTGGAAATCTTCAGACCAAGCAAATATTGGGATGAGCTCCAGTGGTTGTGAGGGAGGTTGCCTCTTCTATCTCTCCCACCAGTTTCAATTAGATGTTTTAGAGCAGGGGTCTCCAACCTTGGCAACTTTAAGAGTTGGGGACTTCAACTCCCAGAATTCCTCAGCCAGCAACCTTGGCAACTTTAAGAGTTGGGGACTTCAACTCCCAGAATTCCTCAGCCAGCAACCTTGGCAACTTTAAGACTTGTGGACTTCAACTCCCAGAATTCCTCAGCCAGCTGGCTGAGGAATTCTGGGAGATGAAGTCCCCAACTCTTAAAGTTGCCAAGGTTGGAGACCCCTGTTTTAGAGAGACGGTTTTTCCCTGTCTGTTACCCGTTTTTCCAATTTGCTGAGTAAGCCCTTGGTGCTCCAGAAGGTATCTCAGGACATTCCTGCAGGCAGCATCTTCTCATTTAAGGAGAATCCAGCACCAGAGACACACAAATTGTCCTCCCCTACAGACCTCCCAGGTCTCATGGGGACCCGCTCTGGGTCCCAACAATGGAGCAGTGTCCACTGAGTGACTCTGTCCTTCACAACATTCACCCTCCTGGACAATGTTTCCCTAGAGATTTGGATGGTCTCCATCCTGACCCTATTGAAATGAGCTGCTCTTAATGCCAAGGCTTGGGGTGGTGTTTGCGGAGAGACCCCTGGTGAAATAGCTGGTTGGATAGTGTTTTTTTCTTGGTATTTGTTCTTCTAGGATTTCGTAGTCTTCTGTTTGTCGTTTCCAGATTCTTTGTGCTGGTTAAATCACCGTGATAAAGCGTCTTACTTTTTGGGGTCATGCTGGAGGCCACCCAGAGTAGTGATGGACTTAGGCAGCTTATAAATATTCCTTAAATCAACTTATAAATCCCTTGGTGGGCATCCAAGGCCCTGTAGCCTAGGAGGAAGGGGGGACGGTCTTGGAAAAGAGCAGCTACTGTACGTGTAGTGGGGGCAAAAGGCTGGGGAGGGGAGGGAATGGAGCCATGGACTGGGAGAGGAAGTTTGCTTGCCATCAACCAAGTTAATGGTTGGTTGTGGCACAAGTGGCAGAGACCAGGGCAAGAGGAGAGAGCTGGGTCCCCAGGAGGCTCCTTCCTGAGCCCCTTTCATTCTGGCAGTGCCAGAGACCAACTCTCCCCTCCTCTCCCTCCCATGGATCTCCCATAATCAATCAATCAATCAATCAATCAATCTCTTTTTTCTCTCTCTCTCTCTCCCTCTTTCTTTCCTTCCTTCCCTCCCTCCCTCCCTCTCTCTCTCCTTCCTTGCTTCCTTCTTCTTTCTTTCTTTTTCTTTCTTTCTTTCTCTTTCTCTTACCTTCCTTCCCTCCCTCCCCCACCCTCTCTCTCTCCCCTCTTTCATCTACCTCCACAGGCCTACCATGCCTTAGATCCAGAGCTTGGGGGCTGCTGTGGTCTCTGCCCTAGCTGTGGCTGTGGCTCCTGTCCAGGATGCGGCTCCTGTCCGGGATGCGGCTCCTGTCCAGGATGCGGCTCCTGTCCAGGATGCGGTTCCTGTCCAGGTTGCGGCTCCTGTCCAGGTTGCTGCTGCCCCTGCTGTGGTTGTGGCTCCTGCCCCAGCTGTGACTCCTGCCCCAACTGCTGCTGCTGCCCCCCGAGCTGCGACTGTTGCTGCCCTCCGAGCTGCGACTGTTGCTGCCCCCCGAGCTGCGACTGTTGCTGCCAGCTGTGCTGCTGCCTCCCGCGGCTTCTGTGCCAGTTGCCCAAAATGATCGGCTGCCCTGTAAACATCAAGAGGTTCCTGATCGTCCTGGTGATTGTGGGCCTTGTGGTGCTGGTTGTCGTGGGGGCTCTTCTGATGGGGCTCTACATCACCCAGGCGCATACGGAGGCCGTAAGTAGGGGACTGGGCTGGGGCTGGGCTGGCTGGAGAGTCAGAAACTGGCGGAGAGGCGAGGGAAGCTGCAGCCAGAGATACCTAGGTGTGTTCTGGGGCTGCCTTGCGCCCACTCAGGAGAGCTGGTGGCTATATTTTCAGGGATTTTGTGAGCTGTTTAAAAGCGAAGCTGAGCCCACTTTCCGCAGCAAACAGTGCAGAGACAACAACACAGCTGGCTCTTCTGCATTTACCAGCACGGCCCTTAGATTACCACGGTTCAGATACATGTACAAATTGTCGAAGTGTGAATCAGCCTCGTTCCCCCCCTGGGGAAACTGTAATTAATTAGAGGTGGATGGATCTTGTTTTCCATGCTGTATACTCTCAAAGAAAGAAAACCCGAATGTATTCTAAGAAACATTTTATTATAAAAGTGAAACAAACTAGCTAGCTACATCGTTACCGGACAAAGGAAGACGTAAATCAGGAAGTAAGAAAAGAAAGAAATCAGGAAGTTAGAAAAGAAAGAATGTAGACATGCGCAGTCACAAGACCAGTCTTATCTCTAGAGAGATGTGATAAGGTTCTCTGGCCAGGCTACCGTAAATCTTAGGATGGAAGCTCAGCTGGCAAACACTTAACGCAGTGACACAAATTGCTCTCCATCCGGTGGGTTCCTTAAAAAAACCTGAAATAATATAACAACCTCAATAATTAACGATAGCAAACACCCCTCTAAGTTTCCAATCTTCCCAGCCACTAAGTTAGAGCAGCTTTCCCATTCGAGAGGCTGTCAAGAGGACGCACAAGGGTTGGGTCACCCCCTCCTGTCCGGTCTCGAACCGCCTCCCACCTGGTTTAACGCTCTAGTAATTGTTGCCGCCAGTGAGCCAAAAAGGGATTCCTTTCTACTCCATGCAGCTTCTGCACATGACCATTGGCGAGTTGGACGGAGAAGAATCGCAGCTGAAGTTCTCCATGGATAAGGAGGAAGTAGCCACTTACTATGTGGATGATGGGATCCACAACCCAGCCACGGTCATTTATGATTTTGCTAAGGTGAGTGGCAGCTGGGCAAGAAAGAAAGAAATCCAGGTATTAATCTGGAGGGAGGAATAGTCAGCTTTATCCTGAATACGAGAAGCTGAAGGAGACTATTTATGGTGAGCTATGGATGGCTAAGAAGATTCTGAATAGAAGAAGATTCCTTCTTCTCAAGCTCGTGGAGAGAAACACAATTGCATGGAATGCGACCAACAGGACTATTTCCAGATCTTCCAAATGCACAAGTTTTCCCAGGGTAACCATGAAAGTTGACATTTGAAAAAGTCCATTTGTTCTTGAAGGTGAAATTCTCCCTTGAACTTTTAACTAAGGTGGCAGTTCTGACAAGTGAGGAAGTCAGTATTGGGGGGCTCCTGTGACATGCAGAAACCCCCAAGGCACAAATAAATGTTCAGTGAACCTGTGGCTAATCGACACATGTTCACAGAACAACCAATAATTGAGGATAGACCGGGCAATAAATCCATTGGAGTCGGGCAATTATTGATTTGATAAACAAATCACGAAAAGTTTGCTGAACTAAGACTAAGCTATATGTGGTGTATGGCTAAAAATACACGGCTGAAGGTGAGGAAACTGATTAACCTACCCTATGTAAATAAATTGCCGGCATTTTTGCAGTCTTGGACGTAGTCTGGTTGTACAAACAATGCAGGTGCTAAGTACATCGTTTGCACCATTGTGTGATGACATGTGTGATGCCCCCTCCCACCCCCAAGACTCTGAAACCCAACTCTATCATTGCATAATAATCATTGCATAATAATTTAATTTCGTTTTAATGTATTTTAATATTTGTATTGTGTGTTTTTAATTTTGGCTGTTCACCGCCCCGAATCCTTCGGGAGAGGGGGCGGTATAAAAATTTAATAAATAAATAAATAAATAAAATAAAATAAATAATGCTCAGTTACAGTCTTGGTCATGTCCTAGAACAGTGATGGCTAACCTTTTTGCCGTCACGCACCAAAAGTGGGGGGGTCACGGGTGCATGTGCCCACACTCATAATTCAATGCCCCCGCCCTCCCACGCATGTGCGCGCGATCCCCACATGGTCCGCCCGCTTTTGGCATGCGATGGCACAGTGGGCCCGGTAGGCCCGTTTTCACTCTCCCCAGGTTCCAGAGGCTTTCTAGGAGCCTGAGGGCGAAAACGGCCTTCCCCCCCTCCCTCAGAGGCCCTCTGGAGGCCGGAAATGGCCCGTTTCCCAACTTCCGGTGGGACCGGAAGGCCCAAAAATCAGCTGGCCAGCACACATGCACACTGGAGCTGAGCTAGGGCAATGCTCGCGTGCCTACAGATATGGCTCCGCCTGCCACAATCTCCCCCTCAGAATCTCCCCCCTCACAATCAGGAGGCGTGAGTTCAATTCTAGGTAGAGGCAGATATTTTTCTCTCGGGGCACGATGAGAATATATCTGCTGAATATAACTCCACATTGGCGACAGGAAGGGCATCCGGCCAGTAAACACTCAGCTCCATTCACTTGCCCAGACTCCACCCCGCAAGTCATTGATCCAGCATAATCATTTTCAGGCTCTGCCCCAACCTGCTAAATTCGCACCGAGGAATATTAGATAAATTTTAGCAGCAAACGCACTGTAGATTTCACAACGACCAACATTGCAATATTAGATGCTAAAAAGATACAAGTAAATGATGTTTTACCAAGGGCAATTTAATGTTTGGGCAAATTTGTTTCCTGAATGTTTACAGTTGGTGTACGTGCTGCAGAAATGTACTTCAAGGAGTAAGCTGAGAGTAAATGAATCTCAATGCTTTGTTCACAGCTGATGATTGGCTACAAGCCTGAACATCAAGAAGCCTGTTACCTCACCAGGATGGATAAGGAAAATATCCAAGGACTAGATACCCTCCTCAAGGAATTCCAGGTAAGGATGGGAACCTTGATAGGTGAAGAAAAGGCTCCAAGATAACATGGCAAACTTCAGCGTTAATGGAGAGAAACTCAGTTTGCAGTGAGGAAAAGATAACCACTGTCCCACAGAATCCTGAGCAGGAGCCTATGGAGTCATATCCAGGAGTGGGCTCCTGGGGGTTCGGCAGGGTTCGGGCGATCCTCTAGCCAAGGATTGCCAGGGTTCGGCAAACCCCCAAATGCTATCCCTGGCTGGCCACGCCCACCCTGCCCCTCCCTCCCAGGAGTCTCCACACGGCCCGTTCATCATTCCAGGTAAGGCCGCACAGAGGATCTGGGAGGGCAAAAAACAGGCCTACCGGAGGTTCCGGAAGTCTGGAAACGGCCTGTTTCCGGCCTCTGGACCCTGTCGGAAGCTGTTTTCACCCTCCCGGAGGCTCAAGAAAAGCCTCCGGAGCCTGGGGAGGGCAAAAAAACACAAACACACGGCTGTGGCAGGCAGCCAACTAGGCGACACCCACCATGGCCACGCCCACCAGCAACCAGGCACCCAACCCGTTGTAAAGGATCAGCCCACCCGTGGCCACGCCCACCAGGAATCCAGCGTCGCACCATGTCCGTCATTAGGATCTGAGCCACGTGGTCATATCTACTCAGGTCTTCACCCAAGGAGAGGTGGCCAGCATGTTGTCTCTCTTCAGCAATCTCATGCTCGGCAAAGGGAAAGAAGGAGCAAGGAGAGGAAGAATTCCTTACGTCCCAGGTGGATCGTTCAAGGCTGGGGACCACCATCAACATCCTCTGCAAACACATCCCCATCTTCTACACTTAGGTGAGTGGCAGACGAGGGTATTGGAGTAGGCGTGGGTTCTATTTACCTTTACTATCGTTTTGATGACGTTGGGGTCGGTGGGCGGAGCCTCCCGCCGATTTTACTACCGGTTCTATAGAACCGGTGCAAACCCACCACTGTATTGGAGCCAGATACAATCCAAACCTCAGAAGATACAAGGTCATCCAGGAAAACTTACCTGTGGCTACAGGATTACACACACACAAACACACACACACATATCCTGCTGCTTTTCAGATACGCTGGACAGGAATTTCCCATAGTTCAGAACGAAAAGTCTGTAGAGATTCTCCGTCCTCCAAGTCACGGTTGTCCCCAAGGTGCTTTTTTTCAGGAGGCAACTGGACTTTTTTTTGTTTTTTCTTTGAAGACGTTTCACTTCTCATCCAAGAAGCTTCTTCAGCTCTGACAGGATAGTGGGGAAACTATCCTCTAAAAAGGATGCAAATGACCAGCTGTCTGCGAGGAATATAAATCCTTCCATTCCCCAGTTTCCAGCACATGCCACAGTTCCGAACGGGCCGTGGCTCAGTACCAGGGCGTGGCCTGGGGATTGGGGGACCCCTGCTATAGCAGGGTTTCTCATCTTTGGCGATTTTCAGTTGTGCGACCTTCAACCTCTCTGAATTCTCCCCAAATCAATGCAGCCTGGGGAGGGAATTCTGGGAGTTGATGTCCACCTATTTCAAAGTCCCCATGCAGGTCCCCTATTTGGCCTCCTGCACCATGGCCATGGAGGCTTTCCTTGAGCCTCTGGGGAGGGTGAAAACAGCCACTCCTGGGCTCCGGAGGCCCTCTGGAGGCTGGAAACAGGCCCATTTCCGGACCTCCAGAACTTCCGGTAGGCCTGTTTTTTGCCCTCGCAGAACCTCCTGCACTTACCTGGCATCCAAAATGGGCTGCATGGAGACTCCTGGGAGGGGAGGGGAGGGGTGGGCAGCGTGAGCATGTCCTTGCAACTACCGGTTCGGCTAACCAGATTAAAATTAACATCCGGTTCCCCTGAATTGGTCCGAACCGGCTGAATCCCACTCTTGTATGGTTGAGAAACACTGCACTATGGTGTCCACCCTACATCTTGCTATTGTCCTGGCACAGAGAATGGAGGTGCTGGTGGGGAGGGGGGCCTTTCCCTTCTGTCCTTTCATAATTACTTCGTCAAGCCTTTGCATCTTCTTCATGTCTGCCTGAGGCGGAATTTCCCTTGTCTAGAATTCTTGGGCTTTCATTCTGCTCTCTTTCTCCCACGTTATCATCGCATATGGACTGATCACAGCAAAACGGGGAAAGCACTTAAAATAAATGACAGAAACCTGATTTATAGTAAGTGACAGCAGTCAGAAGGTGATGATAGTGTGGCCTCCTGAGAACAAGATCTCAGAAATAGCAGGAGGAAGAGAAAATATAGCAGGCAGCAGTAGTGAAGGAGCCAAGAACTTGCTGAGAAGGTATCTGGGTCTGGTTCAGTGGTGGGTTGCCCCCGGTTCGCACCAATTCTATAGAACCGGTAGTAAAACTGGTGGGAGGCTCCGCCCACTGACCCTGACGTCATCAGAACGCTTCTGTGCATGCCCATGGCCCCGTTGCAAACCGGTAGTAAAGTTAAGTAGAACCCATCCCTGGTCTGGATGGTCCACGTATAGTGATGTTTTCTTCCTTTTCCTCCTCTCCTCTCCTCTCCTTCCATGTAGAAACCTGGATTGATGGGCATTCATGGTGAGCCAGGGGTAGGAGGTAGGAGGAAGCAAGTGGACGTCACGGTGTAAGCCTACAAATGAAGCAAATTTTGAAATTCTTTCCTCAGAAACTATACTGCGGTGATACTTGCTGTCCCGTTGTTAATCCCTGTCCTGCTTTTATCGCCTCTGTCCCCAGCCCCTGCCAGCAACCTTGGAGATAATGGGTGACAAAGCCTAACAGATTATACGTAGCTTATGCCTATGACTTGGAATACTACATAATTACTAATCAAAATACTGTATGTAATGCCTTATGCAACTTAGTACAAAATTCTAATAAAACCATCTGACACAAAATGAGTCTCTCTGTATTTCTATACACACACATACACGCCACGGTGGCACAGTGGTTAGAGTGAGGTACTGCAGGCTACTTCTGCTGCCTGCCGGCTGCCTGCAATTTGGCAGTTCGATTCCAACCAGGCTCAAGAATGACTCGGCCTTCCATCCTTCAGAGGTCGGTAAAATGAGGACCCAGATTGTTGAGGGCAAAAGGCTGACTCTGTAAACCGCTTAGAGAGGGCTGTAAAAACACTGTGAAGCGGTATATAAGTCTAAGTGTTATTGCTATTGCTACACACACACTTTAAATAAATAAAGTTTAATAACAGTCCCCCTTAAGCTTTCCCTACTCCACTCAAAGTGTGGCATCGAAATAAGGACAATCTTACTGGAGTGTGGCAGTCAAAAGATAATACCAAGTCAGGTCTGTGGTTAGCTCAAAGTGCATTTTAACCACGATTTGTGACTAATCATGTTACCCAAGTCCAAAAGGGCTGAAAACTAGGAGTTTGCTCCATGGATATATGCAGTTTCTGGAACCATTGAAGGAACTTTTGGTTAAGAAAATGGGCAATTCCTCTCAAAACCGTTTCCACAATAGTTGGCCACAAAAACATCAATCTGCCCTTGAATGTGGATTTGTAAGCTTCTACCTCATTCTGCCTTTAGAGGGCAGCCTTGTGCAGATCATTTGCCAGCGAACTCTCTCTGATTTCTCTGCTCCCCAAAAGTTGAAATTCGGTGCTTATAACATAGTTCAGGGGTCTCCAACCTTGGCAACTTTAAGACTTGTGGACTTCAACTCCCAGATTCCTCAGCCTGCTGAGGAACTCTGGGAGTTGAAGTCCACAAGTCTTAAAGTTGCCAAGGTTGGAGACCCCTAGTATAGTAGTTTGTCAACTACTTGCATTCCGAACATACTTTTTACATAAGAATTGCTTTAAATTCACTGTTGTGATCAGATGTGAATGTGCCTTGAGGGATTTTGTTCTCCACCTCTGGGAATAAAAGCTTAGATAACATGCGCTAATTAAAAGCTGGGTTTGGATTGGCAAGGGAACAGAACAGTTTATATATACAGGAAGGATTTTCATACACAATAAACACCAGAACAAACAGAACTTTTTATTATTGTGGGGTGTTGTTTTTTTTCACGCCAAGCCATTTATGCCTTTCAAAATAGGCAGACAAAATATACCGCCAGATACAAATGTTTGCTAATATTTTCCTTGCCACCTAACCTAACATTTTACAGGCCATCTGTAAAAAACTGTTGAGGCCAAAGTCAGAAAATAGTTTTAAAAATTCCATACTATTAATATTACTACTGTATCACAAGTACGGTTTAGGACATGGAATTTCTATGTTAATGGTGCATCACATACTCAGCCAGATGTTTAGATGGGATTTGGCAACAATATCCGCCTATCAAATCCTTCCCAAGGAGCTGGGATAGACAGATGTAGATTTTTGAGGTGTTTTCAGGTATCATTGCAGGAAGTAAGCTGTTCCAATTAAAGCTTCCTTTTGCAATTGACTGATGGTGAATTTGTCAATGCCGATTGTATTTAAATGGGGCTCCAGATGTTTTGGGGTTGTACCCAAGATGCCTATCACTACTGGTAATATTATGGTTGTTATTATCATTGTTCACCTATCAGCCAGATGTTTAGACTGGATTTGGCATTTTCATCCACCTTATTATTATATTTCCATTAAGGTAAGGTATAGCTGTAATTCCTGAAATGTACAATACCTTCAGAGAATAAACAGAAGAGCGGGACAGAACCAGGTGTGTGCAGGTATATTGGACCATCAGCCTACATCAGGGCTCTGCAACCTTAAACACTCAAAGAGCCATTTGGACCCGTTTCCCACAGAAAAGAAAACACCGGGAGCCACAAAAACCCTTCCCGTGCCTGACTATTTCTTGAGCGGCCACAAAACTAGCATATGCAGTTGAATTAAACGTTCTGTTTTCTTCTTAAACTTTTCTTTTCTTGGATTTATCCATGGTTGGCCTACCGGGGGTTGAAAAGCTCAATAAACCATGTGACGCACATTGGCAGTTGTGATGCATATTTTGAGTGACAGGGAGCCGCAGCAGAGGGGGTGAAAGAGCCACATGCGGCTCCAGAGCTGCAGGTTGCTGACTCCTGCCCTACATATATCTCAGGCAATGTTTCCCCAAACTTGGCACCTTCCAACTGTACAGACTTTCAGTCCCCCAAATTTCTCACTCACCATTCCTGAGAATTCTGGGAGTTGAAGTCTGTACTTCTAGAAGGTTCCATGCATTGAATAAAACCTGCCTCTTTTTCTGTCATTATAGCCTGGCCATCCATGTTTTGGATACACTGTGCACAAAGTGTGGGCTCCCGATTCTCCACAAATGCTTTCCATCCGTGTGAGAAATGTTGCTTGCTTCCTCCTCCACCCAAAATCCAGGGCCAAGCCTCCCTTGAGGGCAGAATCTAGATTTTTTTTTCTTCCAGAAGATTCTATTTTCTTAAATCTGACCGCCAAGATAGGGATTAAGGTTTGAGGCAGAACTTGGATTTGAAAGTGGTTTTGGACCAGTCGCTCCCATGCAGCCCATCCTACCCGGCAAGGCTGCTGTTTACAGTGAGACGGGATCTTACACTCAACTTTACACTGGAGGCAAGAAAAATAAATATTTATTAGCTAACCCACTCTGGGTTGTGTTATGTTCGGGATGCTTTAAAGCCGTCTGCCTTTCCGCCCCGTGTCAACACTCTAAAAGCCACAAGGAGGAGATCTCTTCACCACCGCAAAAAAAGGCAAACACAGGGCAAGATACGCAACGGGTCCTCTTCTCAACCCTTGGCCAGGCTGATGCTCTCACAGCCCATCTTTAGTTCTGGAAGAGGGATGTGGTGAGGCCACACACCAGCAGGGAGAAGGCAGGGAGGCCAGGCCCCTTCAAAGCCCGGCTGT